TATGGAGCTAAATCTACTGGTTTCCTGACAGAGAAGCGTGTCACTGATCTCGAACGTAAACGACATTCGTCATGTTTGCATTTATTTATATACACACGGGTAAGGCAAAACAAAGAGTGACAAGAAACTATTTCGGTTGAAGAGACTATTGCTCGGTACAGAAATTCGAGCTTGTGGGTCATTGCCGACTTAATTGTGTTTAGGAATATGACCTGGTCACACGAGTACACTAAGATTAATACATGGCTCATAGTGTCCGAATAGTGATGAACGTAGCATTTATACACCTCTTTGCCGAGCCAAACTGGTTCAAAACGGCCCAGCCAAGAAAACAAAAGTGCATAGCTATTTGGACAAAGTCTCGCTCAAGCGGAATAGTAGATTGAGGGGCTGATCGAGGAGATCGAGTGTAGATCGCTTATGGACTAGTAGGTCGAGTATGGGCTGATCGAGTAGAGGCGTTCAGCCCATAAGCGGAAAGTCTCACGAATGGTAACGCAGTTGAACGGTTAAATTAGGCACTCAAGGACGGAATGCCGGTAACGCCGGTCACTCAGAGCACTTAGAGAAGCGAGAGCTCAGCGACGGCATGACGACCGGCGTTACAGTTCGTGCTAATTTCAGAATGATACAAAAATTTAGAAGGCGAAAATATATGTAACAAATGAACAATATAAAAGCAACTGTTTAGAATAGAAGACGATCAAAATAAATTCTTCAACTCAACAGAACGGTGAAAATATATTTAAAATTTGTAAAGCTAATTGAATGAAGAGTAACCAGGTAGTTCATCTTACAGCATAATCCATTGAATTTTGTTAAATTTTCACTGTCAGTTGGAACAACATTGGCGTTGTTTTCTAGTGAACTTTTTATCGTATCAGATGAGCATTTAGTGCTTTTGTGATCAAGAATTTGCTAACACAATACTGAAGTAACCTAGCCTTATTTGGTTCCACGATAGCAATGGTCTCAGTGGGGAACATAGGATGGAATAGGGATCATTTCGGACCTTTATTCCGGCCAGCCCCACAACACATTCATTTATTCAAAACCCAGAACCCCAAAAATTACATTTTCCAAATGATCTAAAACATAGACTGAGTCAAGTGGCATGTGGGAGGGACTAGCAGTCGTGTGGTGCAGACAGAGATTGCCAAGTCTTCATTCTGACACTTAGGTTCTTACGAGCGGCAAAAACAATCAAGACACTCAAGTTAATGACGTAATGAGCCAGGGTGTCATGCTCTGGGCAAACCAAAACAGATATGAAGCCGCGACAAGATTTGTCAATAAACTCTAGGTACTAGACACTTTAACTGATCTTTAATAGACAATGCACAATTATAATTGTTATGATGAAATGCCTAGCAAGAAGATTCCGTCTCACAATTTCGGGAAATTATAATTACGAGCTTACAAAGACACAGCAATGCTAGCTCCCAATAATTTGACTAATACATGTCAATAGGATATAAACATTGTCTTATTGAGCCGGCACAAGTTAATCTGACGAGTTCGTCGAAATATCGCTTTTCAATAATCACTTTAAGGTAGGTAGCTCAGAAAAAAGAGCACGAGTCTTAATCTTGACTAATATTTTTTGCAATACCAGCACCGGTAATTTGTCATTACGAAATAAATACAAAATTACTGACGCAGAATAACGCGTAAATGTCGATTCGCACATTCACAAGCATGACAATTATCTGCCAGGATTACTAGAACTAGAATTATTATCTATTATTAGGACAATTATCAGCCAGAAATTAAAACTAAATTATTAATGTCGAAAGAATCGTCCATACACGAGGACATTTTCTTTATTACAAAAATAGAAGCTTGAAAACGCTAAAACATAAGTGAGAAAAGAATATAATATTAACTAAATTGAGGACGCGCAAAGTTATTGTTACACTTTACTAAAGATAAAAAGCACGAGGCAAGTTAGACCGAATACAGGAGCCGGACACCCGAGACGCACGCGCGACGGCCGCGGCACTGCGAGGAAGCGATCACAGCTCAGTTGGCACCCACACAGCCACGTCTGACACAGTGCCAGCTGTGGGCCATCTATACCAGTCTGCACTCTTCACTCTACTCCCAATACTGCATCACGCTAACACCCATACTGCATCACGCTTTTGTCGATACTGTACAACAATGTCACGCTAACACACATACTGCATCACGCTTTTGTAAATACTGCACGACAATGTCACGCTAACACCAATACTGCATCACGCTTTTGCCAATACTGCACGACAATGCCACGCTAACACCGATACTGCATCACGCATTTGTCAATACTGCACGACAATGTCACGCTACTCTCCATACTGCATCACTCTCCAAGTACTGCAGAGCAGATTCACGCTACTCCTGATACTGCATCACGCTAACACCCATACTGCATCACGCTTTAGTCAATACTGCACGACAATGCCCGCTACTCTCCATACTGCATCACTCTCATCCAAATACTGCAGCTCAGTATCACGCTGCTCCTGATACTGGATCACGCTGCTCCAAGTACAGCCGGAGTTTCACGCTACTCCTAATACTCAACAAAATCCAGCCCACATGGAACAATACTTGTAAATGAAGCACGCAAGTGGAGTAACATGGCGGCGTTGCGTCAAGGTTTAGACGCTTGCATAACTCAGCGGTTATTACCGATGAATAACTCGACACTAACCTTTGCATGGCATGTCAAGTGGACATACAAGTAATATGATCTAAATGGTTCAGAGCGACTCAATCACAGTTGTTAGACAACAGGATAATCGATAGAAAGAGTGGAAATGAATCAAGATCCAATTGAAGAAGCAACTAGACATTATATCTCATGACTTTACCTTGTTTCTAACTAGTCTCCCGTCAATGGTTCATGAGTTGTCACTCCGACGATACTACACAAAACTCGTCAATAAAAATTGTTTAATGCTGCTCAGAAATACTATTTGAAAGGTTCGACTACCACCTGAAAACTACGAAGCTATTTAAAGGCGTCTCAGTAGCGGCCCCCCACGACGACAATGAAGATCCCATTAGCGTGCCGTGTAGAGCGACCATAAACCCGTGGACAGCGCATTGGAATGCCTTTACGAACCGCAGTCTACAACAAAACGTGGCCAATTCACTGCCGATCTATTAACTTCTAACTGAGTGTGAACAAATTTCAACTTATAACCAGGGTTTGAACTAACTTCAACTTATTGCGGGCTATTTTAGGCTGCCACTGACCCCAAAAAGCTTATTTGCAGTAATTCTACACACTCAAACATTTAAGGTCGCAATTGCGAAAAAGCGATAACATCTTAGGTGGAGGAGACGGGAACTAGCGTAACATAATACAGAGTTATTCTAAATGATGGGCCCTCCCACGTTAGATATTTACCTTGCAGTACGATGGGAACATATTGAACATTTATATGTAAATATGTAAAAAATACTAACTTTGAATCTTTCTCTTTCTATTATTGTACAAATTATTCATTTTGAATTTATGCTCAAATAAATACGAATATATTATTATGGGTCCATCATTTAGAATACCCCTGTAGGAAAACGCTATTATACACCGAAGAAACCCTGTTAGACAACAGTCAAATACTACTCGTTTGAAGTCATAATCAAGATTCGGTAATGTGGATTTTCAGGTGTCGCATTCGCTTTGAGCTACGCGGTCATCTACTCACACACTGCAATACACACAAAATATGCACGTACACGTATCATATGTACGCAATAAGCAGTCTCACGCACACAGAAGAATGTACACGTATCACGTGTACGACATACGTAGCTGCGCGCAAAAGTGCGCGCTACGAAGCACTTGAGTGTAAAAGGAACACGAGGTCGGCCCGAGTGTAATGCGGCCACGAGGCGACCTCGGTAAACGCGAGACTAAATGACGAGATCCGAAGCCGTGTCGAACAGTTTCGCTACACCACACGAGACTCACTACATCACACGCGGATTGAAACACCACGAGACATCACACGCGACTTGAAACACCACACGAGACACCACACCAGGCAGAACCAACGCCCCTCTACCAGTCCATTTCTTCACCAAGTCCGTCTCCCAGTACCTAGCATCCAGCAATCAGGCTCGTGAGGTGGAGCGGAGACTAACCTCACGCTGGGATATTCCTCATGCACCTCATCGCGGTGATCTCCGAATATAACAGGGTCATAGCTGCATTACTGTTCCAACATGTCCGATCGTCGTATTCGAGAAACCACCTTCGTCCCAGTACAGCAAACTATAATCATTTACCCTCATGCTGCTCAGCTACAGCACAGCACCAGCATAGCTACGGTCGGACCCTTGCTTCTCCCTGGGCCTATAATTTCAAAAAAAGTTAAGAGATCGTAAGTTCATCAGCCAATCATCGAAGGCCTTTCAAGCAAAATCCACCAATCATAGACAAGAAAATAGAGCGTGAGTGTTTACGTTCACTTAGTGAGTTTTGAAAGTTTGGCCCCTGGCATCCTACTCGAGCTGTTTCCGGTTGAACGCCCCTCGGTAACAGGCCCGCCTGCCGCGGGGACTGTAAACCCTCTGCAGTTTACAACCGCGGCGACAAGCCTGCGTTGGCGGCGACATCTTACGCCTCCCTCCCTTTCTCCGTCTATACGTCCCACTTATCCAGCAGCGGGAAGCTCTTCCCTCACACGTCCACCACATAAGCCACCCTCCTCTTGCGTACATATGTCATCACCACGAACAGAAAAACTCGCATTATGATTGTAATACAGAGCCACACTCACCTTTTATTGCTAATTCAGACCACCAACAACAAGCACCATGGACACCCTACTGCTAGTACTGCGGACCACCAATTACTTCTTCCTTATGGTACAGACAACCTCCTGGGACTAAGAACCATTCAATCACCTCCTGCTGGTATCCCCATCTACTTACTAGTGGTACTAGGTATCTACCTCCTGCTGGTACTAGGTACCTACCTCCTGCTGGTACTAGGTACGTACCTCCTGCTGGTACTTCTTATCCACGGCCATCTTGTTGGTCTGCAAGGTGCGCACGGCGTTCCTGGCGCCCTCCATGCAGCGGCGCTCCACGCGCAGGCGATGGAGCAGCTGCTCCACCCGCACCTCCACCGGCGTCGTCAGGTTGTACGTGCCGTCCTGGCTGCCTGCGACCACAACCACAACCAGGTTAGTGCTTGTAACCACAACCAGCACCAGGTTATTGCCTGCAACTGCAACCAGCACCAGTTTACCACTAGTACCAGGTTAATGATTGTAACAACAAGCGCCTGATCAGTGCTTGTAACTACGGCCAGTCAGTGACACGTTAGTGACGGTGAGCACCACCAGCACCAGGTTAGAGCTTCAGTGTCGTGTAGTATAAGTAATTTATTAACAGGTTTATGACCAAAAACAAGCTTTAGAGGAGCAACGCATAGTTTATGTTGTCAATGGCGCATCGTGTTGTATTTGAGACACTGGAACAGGCAATGAATAAGCTCTACTTGTACTAAATGAGTGTTAAAAACATAGAAGTCAATGCTCGAGTAATAAAGGAGTTCTTGACGTTAACAACATGAGTATAGGTTGAACTCTTTAAAAAAAATAAAAATAAAAACGAGAACTGCAATAAATAGAGCAGTATAATACTACTGAGAATTCAACATGACCCATGCAAAACATGGGCCGTAATATCAAATTTTGCTTAAGTACACGTAGCGGCTAATTTCTCGTCTGGTATTGGTAGATTCTGGCTTGAAAAACCGTCAGTGATTGGCTAACAGAGTTACGAACTCGTAACTATTTTTACGAGCCTATAGTACCACATGCAAGCCAAAGCTGTTATAGGCACAAGAAGAACTCACTAGACTCACTGCACATGCCCCAAATACAATAGCCTAAGATATTTAAACCTTCAAGAAAATGAAGATGTATTTAGTATTGCAAGTCAAAGCAACTAGGCAAAAAATAAGAACTCACTAGACTCGCTGCACATGCCGTTCTGCTTAACTCTGTTGATCCTCATCTTGATATACTCGATCTTAGCGCGAGAATCAGCAAGCATCTGCTGAGCGGACGCCACAAGCTTCTTGTCGCGCAGTCGACCGAAGCTGTACATGTGGATCATGTTCTCGGCCCCTTGCTTTACCTGCGGGCACAGCAGGTACAAAAATACTTTTAAACATTGAATGAGATGAATGAATAAAATATTCAGTGTATGAATAAAGTATTCAGTGATAAATCATAACAGCATGCACAGATGAGAATATGAAGAAAGTTTGACACTTGCTTCACCTGTTGCGGGCACAGCAGGTGCAAAAATACTTTAAACATTGAATGAGATAATTGAATGAATAAAATATTCAGTGATAAATCATAGCTGCATGCACAGATAGGAATATGAAGAGGGTTTGACGCTTGCTTCACCTGGGTACAGGTGCAAAAATCCAATAAATAAATATCCAGCGAGATAATCGTCGAAATAAATAGGTACCTATTATGACGTAATAACAATTGCAAGAACAGATGGGAATGGCGATGCGCTTGCATCGCCTGGGGGCAGTCGGTGCAGAGAAGAATGAATAATCCTTTGAATAAATGTCCAGTTAAAAACGCTTCTATCACCGGAGGGAAGAAAAGAATGAGTAATCATTCAAATAAACTTCCTGTGAAATACCTAATCTTTGAAATTAAATACCCATTAATGCATCATATCTGCATGCACAGATGGTAATGACGAGAGGTAATAACAGGAGCTTCGCGTGATGGGAGCTCCAGGAGAAAAATGTTGCATTAGATCACGGCATCTTTATCTTAATTTAAATCTTAATCTCAGTTATGTTAAATATTACTGGGCCTCCAGAGCTGAAAGTCAAGAGAAGTTAACGCGTGCTTAACTTGAGCGCTGGGTCACATGAATAATAATAATAAGAGTATACTGAACTGAGTGTTCAATTTATATCGTAATTACTGCACGCACAAAGATGATTGGGTAAATGGATCAACATGTGGAGAGAATGCGATAAGAATAAGCCGTACTTGTGTGAGTACATCGTCATTGTCGTTGGCTATTTCCAGAATAAATATTATTGCCTGAAGTCAAATCGAATTAAAACATCAATGGTTATAATAATTACTCGCGCTAAAGGATATCTGCAGGATGCAGATATCCTTAAAGTCATCTGATGAACGATTCGTGTAATTTTCTTGACCGTCAGAATTTAAATACAGAAAAAATGCATTCTCGGAGTAATGAGTGAGACTGTCCAAATACCGAAGCACTTTTGTTCTTGCGTGGGTCATCCTAAACCAGTTTCGCCAGTCAAAAGGGCGTATCAAGGCTACGAGCAGCAAGTGTATCACTAATAAGACAATATGAATCGTTGATTTGTATTACTAGTGTACCATCACTCCCTAATTTTTCATGATCCGCGATACTAACTCGATGATACAAAGGATTGAAGCTTTTTTCAGGGACCCAAGACTGAATATTGTGGGTTGAAATAACAATTCTCATCAGCAAAGACAATTTTGTTCCTGAAATGCCATATGCAAATATTGCACACATTTAATTAATACACATTTCAATTGTACGTGTACACGTAAAGTAAGTACAATAAAGAGCAGTAATAAGCACCTTGGTCTCAACGATAACCTTACAAATATTGCATAGTAGTGATATACACGTTAATTAAGTAGAATAAAGAGCATTAAGAAGCACCTTGGTCTCGATGATAAGCTGCTTCTCGAGACTCCTGAGCCTGGCGTCAGCAGGGCTGGCGTCGTGGCCGTCCATAACGCGGCCGTCAGCGCTGTCACCCACCAGCACTCCTCCCCCTCCTGACCCTTGAGACCATGACGCTGGTTCTGCTGCACCGGGACATGTGTTAGGGGGACAGGTGTTAGGGGGACATGTGTTGGGGTGATGGGTGTTAGGGGGACATGTGTTGGGGTGATGGGTGTTAAGGGGACAGGTGTTAGGGGGATGGGTGTTAGGGGGATGGGTGTTAGGGGGAAAGGTATTAGGGAGACAGGTGTTGGGGTGATGGGTGTTAGGGGGACATGTGTTAGGAGAGATGTTAGAGGGACAGGTGTTAGAGGGACAGGTATTAGAGGGACAGGTGTTAGAGGGACATGTGTTAGGGGGACATGTGTTGGGGTGATGGGTGTTAGGGGGACGGGTGTTAAGGGGATATGTAATAGAGGGACATGTAATAGGCCTAAGTATAGGTATACATATAGCGATTCAAGTGAACGTATATAACGGCTCTAGTACACGTAGCGGCCTAAGTATACATAGCGATTCAAGTAAACGTAACGGCTATAGTACACGTAGCGGCTAAGTATACATAGCGATGCAAGTAAACGTAACAGGCCCGAGTACACGTAGCGGTCTAAGTATACATAGCGATGCACGTAAACGTAACGGCTCTAGTACACGTAGCGGCCTAAGTATACCTAGTGATGCAAGTAAACGTAACGGCTCTAGTACACGTAGCAGCTTAAGTATACATAGCGAAATATGACACAGAATATCTGCGAATGCTAGCAAAACATATGGCAAGTCAAAACATAATTAGCATATGTATAGGTACCTCGAGTCGAAAACGATTCAATGGCCATTGGCCTTTGTGCAAGCCCCCTCCTACGCCACAGGATTTCATCAGCGAAGAAAATAAATGAATAAATAGAGCGTTATGACTCATTTCTGCATGTTCTAAAAAGACAGTTCTTCATAAACAAGCCTTCATGAAATCTATCAAATTTAGGTACAACAAACAAACAAACCTTCATGTTCATGGAATCGATCAAATTTAGGAACAAACCTTCATGGAATCGATCATATTTAGGAACAAACAAACCTTCATGGAATCGATCATATTTAGGAACAAACAAACCTTCATGAAATCGATCAAATCTAGGAACAAACAAACCTTTATGGAATCGATCAAATCTAGGAACAAACAAACCTTTATGGAATCGATCAAATCTAGGAACAAACAACGAGTTTGTAAGGGATGAAACAAGCTGGAGGTGCTCAGGCAGCACACTTACCAAGAAAAAAGTAATAAACTGCAGCGAAATAGTTGTATTCCTGTGCACAGTTATAGCACCGATTACGCCACGTTGATGTTTTAATCAAGACTTTCTAATCGGATATATACGATCAATTTCCCAGTCTATATTACGAAGAAAAGCGAAAAATAGAGTTCAGCATGTATGAATTAATTGATGGCAGAATTCGCTTGTTTATAAACGGTCAATTGATGACCAAAGAATTTAGATTAAAATTTTCCGAAAATTCTTTTGGGGGATGTACGGTTGACACGTCCTGGGCGGCACAAAGCACCAGCGCTGGCAGATGGCCTAAAAACGGCGAAGTCGGTGGATAAAAAGGCCTATAATTTAGAATATACCAGTAAATTTGTAGGTTCCGGTGCATAAATTATATTTTCCTTTTTTCCGTAGATTTTAAAATTTAATGAGCTAATACTATTATCATAAATTTTTGTCGATAAACGCAATTGAAAAAAAAACAAATTGCGTTATTTGACCAAAAAAAATACCCTGCAACCAAAAATACCCTTACAAAAAATACCCTTAAAGTAGCGTGAAGCAATGAGAGATCTAGCACGCAATACGCATTGAACCGTTAAGTGCAAAATTTACATTTTTCTTTTTTCTGTATACTTAAAATTTAATGAGGTAGTATCATAAATTTTCGTCGGATAAACACAATTGAAAAAAAAACTAAATTGCAGAATTAGTCCAAAAAATACCCTGTAACCAAAAATACCCTCACAAAAAATACCCTTAAAGTAGCGTGAAGCAATGAGATATCTAGCACTAAATTCGCTTTAGACCGTCAAGTCTACGCGGCTTGCTTCATGCGGGTATCTACAGAACGCCTCGCAAGTAAGACAGTTATTACCTGAGAGTGACCTCAGGTACATCTGCTGTATCTGGTATACGCTTGCCATGCAGTACAGACCTGTGCGCAGTTCAGGTAAACGAATATAGTATATAGGCAATTGAATCATATAGCATATATAGCTATATGCTATATCACAAAGAAGCTCCTCTAAAGAGCGTGAAGATGTCGTTTTATCAGCAGCAGACTCTTTTGAGCCGATAACTTTAGAATAACTATACCCTTTTCATAAAGATATGCTACATTTTTTTAGCTGCAGTAATTTATTTCCAAATAACTTTCTGCCAAACAGAGAGAACAAAAGAAATCGTTTATAATCAAACTGTCTCAAAAGATACATCTTTTACTAAAAAAATTACTGCACTGGTTATATGATAATAATAATAATATAATAAAACTAAAAAGTTAGCGTTGATATGAAAAAGTTATAGATACTTTGGTCGACATTTAGGTAAGAGAAGCTAGTGCGTTAACATTTCAAGAAGATTAAGATTAACACACACGATGATTGCCACTGAGATTCCAAAGTGATTTACGTATATATGTACTGTGGGTGCAAAAGTATCCGACACAAAAGAAAAAAAATTTATTATTTTGAACTTTAACTTTTATAAAATTGCAATGATCAATTCAACATTTATTGATGTTTTTGTTTTGATATATTGGTATTTTCCATGAAAACTTACAATAGAATAGTGTTTGTTAATGCTATTAGGTTGGATAAGCTATAATTATATAAAGTTTTTCCTTTTATCGAATACTTTTTACACCCACTGTATAACTGCTGCTGCATCATCGGAGAACAACAGATAAAACAATCAAGATAAGCCGGTAAATCTTTAGCAAAACTCATATTTCGGCACACTTTAGATCAGATAAATCTGTAAATGATG